CTATCGCCTCTCATTTCCATCTGTTTGTGTCTCAATTGATCCAAATATCCACGGAATGCGTTGACACCCATTATCACTGGAAATGACTTCCATGTGTTCTCCTTCTGACATATATTGCGGATCACCTGAAGAGGTCATTACAGTTACAATCAATTCAATGTTCAATTAATAGTGTATTGAGTCTACAGAAAGCACTGGCTGTTCAGTATTCAATTGATAACTTAATAATAGACATTGTCTTACTGTAAACCACCCTGGCCAGAACAGTACAGCACTGTATATGCAAACAAATACCTGTTCGAAATGGTCGATAAGGTTCTTGTAGGTGAGTTTGAGATGTCCGTCCTGTGCGGCCACAGAGTAAGTAGAGATTAAGTTGGAGCGGAACTCCTTGAGCGCCAGTTTGAACACCACATCAACAGTAGACTCCTTATGGGACCGGCGTTTCTCCTCATCCATCTCATAGACCTTCTTCAGGATAAAGGCGTCCATTACTTGCAATTCGTCACAATTCTATCGCCTCTCATTTCCATCTGTTTGTGTCTCAATTGATCCAAATATCCACGGAATGCGTTGACACCCATTATCACTGGAAATGACTTCCATGTGTTCTCCTTCTGACATATATTGCGGATCACCTAAAGAGGTCATTACAGTTACAATCAATTCAATGTTCAATTAATAGTGCATTGAGTCTACAGAAAGCACTGACTGTTCAGTATTCAATTGATAACTTAATAACAGACATTGTCTTACTGTAAACCACCCTGGCCAGAACAGTACAGCACTGTATATGCAAACAAATACCTGTTCGAAATGGTCGATAAGGTTTTTGTAGGTGAGTTTGAGATGTCCGTCCTGTGCGGCCACAGAGTAAGTAGAGATTAAGTTGGAGCGGAACTCCTTGAGCGCCAGTTTGAACACCACATCAACAGTAGACTCCTTATGGGACCGGCGTTTCTCCTCATCCATCTCATAGACCTTCTTCAGGATAAAGGCGTCCATTACTTGCAATTCGTCACAATCGGTGATCAATATATCGCGGGGATCGACGAACTCAGCCGTCCGGGTCACCAGCCATCCCGAGCCACCGGCGCTCGTTTGGCTGTCGCGTACTGACTGCGAGCGGGTCGACGGTGTGTCGTTGGCGTTGGCATTGGCGCCGGTATTCTCTTTGGCCGATAGTTTTTGCCAATTTTTACCGCCCTTTCGATTCTTAGAGCGCGGAGGTCTTGAAGGGTTTGCTGCAACAGACGTAATCAACAAATTTAATTAATTACCTTGATCATGACTGCAAATGAGCATGACAGTCTATTAAGACATTGAAGGACAAGGTCATTCAAGACTTTAAAATTATAGAAAGTGTACGATATTTATGAAATGTGTGATCCGACTGACCATTAATAGGAGCCAACATTACGGCAGAGGCTGAGGCCGAGTGTTGAGTCAAATTGGATCGGCACGGGATCTGATGGGAAGAGTGGACGCACTTGTTGTGGAACAGTAGCCGGCATTCGTCGCACCGGACACCGGCGCCCGTGGGTTGACCCCTAAAGGACATGGCGTTCTCACATACGGCGCACAACTCTCCCGACCGGAACTGTGACTGAGAGCGCATGGAGTGGCCGTTCATTAGCGAGAAGTCTCTGACGGGCGGTACAGGCGGGGCGGGCATCGGCTCTAATGACTTGGACGGACGCTTCCCCTGCGCCGACCTATGACTAGACGAGCACAACAGCGACACCTCCTCCGGACCTGAGTCGTAGCAGACGGCCGTTTGCATCGACGAGTGCGACCCTTTCGCTTGACTTTTAGCCCACTTTTCCGATGAACTACTCTTTCCAATGAAAGTCTTCAGTGTTTTCTTAGCCTTTTGAAGGGCACCGACACTATCGCTCAGGGATGACGAGCTCTTGACTTGTGGCGCAGGCTGTCCACTGGCTGTCACATGAGATGTTAGTCCCGTTTTGGACAGTTTCGCCTCTTTTACCACATTCTGAGGCTCTAAAGGCTCCACAAAGTGTTGAATCCGTTGCTTATGAGTGGATATCAATGCCGATGAGTCGCTCGATATCTTCGTTAACTGTAAACACATATTAATCGTCAGTTAATTCATTGCAAACGCCATTAATTAAGTCATTATTAAATACTAAATCACGCAATACTCAATAAGGTATTGGTAACTAAGATGTTTTTAACTAGCCAGCACAATATTTATAAACAATACTTATATAATTAATGATAATGTATCTGTTAACACACCATAAAACCAGGGTAACGTTAGTTTACACAAAATAAAACAATTGATTTAGAGGGTGGCCCTTAACAACAACACATACCTGTCTGTGATCTCTGCTGGTGTCGCCGTATTTGGTTGGACTCAAGTCTTGTCCGACAGTCTTGTCCTCTGCAACTGTTTTACTAGATTTTGACTTTTTGAGTGACAGTTTGCGTACGACTCGATTGCGGCGCCTATCAAGTCGTGATTTATCCTCTAATTCACGATCGTATTCAACACCAAACAACTCGGACTCGTCCTCCTCCTCCTCGGCGTCATACGCCTGCAGTGGTCTATCAGTGGACAGGCGCTTGTGGGGCATCACAGGCGGCAGACGGCCGGCACCTATACTGCCAGCGCAGGGCAAGTCTGGATCGGAATCCTCAATGTCTTCGTGAATACCCGACGAGTCCTCTGATTCTTTGGCCCGAATTTGATCGGCAAGTGTTGGCTCAGTGCCGACCATCCGATGTCTAGGCCTCACGTCCAGGTGTGGCAGCGATGATGATTGAGTACTACATTGAATGGGCAGTGAGTCCAACAACTCCTCCTATTTTTGTTGTACAAAAATATTTAAAAATTAATCCAAATATTGATAAAACTGTAAATAATGACATCTGTCTCAACATATAGATAGGTGTTGTGCCCACACATACCTGTGACGATCCCTTCGAAAGGAAAGCCTCGTCCGAGTGATACGATTGAGAATCCATAGGTATTTGAGACTCGTTTGTGCGGAAGTGATGTAATGATTGGTCGGAAGACAGTTTGGTGAGACTGTCGGCCTCGGGAATGGCAGTAATAATGGCCGCACTTGTACTCAGTTTAGTGTCGAGTGTGGGAACGGATGTATGAGTGGAAGGCATTGCGGCGGTTGTGGTGGCAGTGGTGGAGGCGAGTCGTGTGCGGGTGAGAAAGCCTCTGCAGTGGGCCTGGAAGGCCACCGTCGACTGCCTCAGCCTTTCGAACCACTGTTTCTGTTTAAAAGATCTCCAATTCTTTTGTATGCAATTTGCGGCCCAATTCTCGTATGTGGCGATCCTTTTCAGTCGGGACAGCCTTTGTTGAGCCATCCATCGTCTGGTGTGGCACTGGATAATAATAGCCGCTCCCCTCATCTCCTTGAACCGCTTGCGCAACAACCACGTCCTCACCTACCGGTGCACCAAATTTTATTGCAATTTATTAGTTTATGCATAAATCAGTTTATCTATATTTGACAAATTAATGTCAACTGGATGCTTGAACCAGGTTAAGGATTCGCTTATTTAAAACTAATTAAACAATTAATTAACTTAAAGTTAAAATAAGTCATCTCAACTTTGTTTTAGGTAAGCTTGGACATGCAGTGCACAAAAATTATAAACAACAACAAATGCCGTACCCATCGCTGAAGTGTGACAATACGTCTGAGTATTTCCTGGTGTAGTCTCTCATCGAGTATGAGTTTCTCTGATTCCCTCATAAATATCTTAGACTTTCCGATCTGATAGTCATCTCTATTGAGATTCATGAGCGACAGGAACTGCTTGACATCGGACTGACTGGACAACAGGCCTTTGGGCAGTAGTATGCGGTAGTGTTGTATAAACTCGTCGAAACTGAGTCTCACGCTATACCCCGACTGTCGGATCCTCACCGTCTCCAACATACCGGTATACCTGAGCTGTAAGAGCACCAGTACATCATCGAAATGGTTGGCTATCTTATCGCCGTTCGACTTAATACAGCGCACGAAGAAAGGGTTGGCCAGATTGAGCGCCTCCATCAACTGTTGCAGCGACGACTGGAACTGGTGGGTGACGGTGGGGGTCTGCTTACGCCCCGACCGGGATATCGTGTTGTGGTGGTTGTGCGCTTTGCCGTGATATGGCTGCGAGTGACTACTGGCTCCTGTCGTGGGCGCCATCAGTTGTTTCAGTGTTTTCAGGTTTTTGATCGACTTCTCGATGCCTTTGCTTTTAATTTGTAGCTTTTGTTGGGCTATTGTCTTGTGTTTCCTATCCATCCATATCCGGTATTAAAGATTTTGACATTTAATTTTTATAAAGCTCATAAAGTATTGAGTTATAAATATTTATATTAGCAAATTCAAATTTGATATTCGAAACATTAGTTTGTAAAATAAGTTTCCTTGCTAGTATCTGTATACTGTATAATTGTTTAACTCACATTTGACTGAAAAATTTAAGTCCTCTTTAATATTTTTAAATATAGCAATGAAATCATAAATTTAATTACTTCTATAGAAACCACACTTAAAAATATCTATAAAATATAGACTATAATATTAAAAACAATAATAAATTTAAGTAACCCCGAATAGTTAAAACTACTGTCAATGCAAAGTTCATGTGATATCAGAATAGTTTATTATGCATCAGGATATTGAAGGGATTGTGAAGTCTGGACATGCAATTGATATGAGGGATGGATAACATATGACATACATTAGTATTTTATTGGCTTTGGACAGCACTTTGGCGTCGTTAGAGCACAGGGAGTGTTGGCTTCCATGCATTGGACACAAAGATGAGGAGGTCTTTACGAGTGACCCTCGGATGCATTGCGGTGTCGACACCGCCCCGAAGAGGGCCTGTTTGCTAAGTATGGCCTTTGATATGCGCGAAACCGGAGCCGTGGGAATCGTGCCGTCAGACCCGTTACGTCCCGGTCCGCCCGTGCCGTTAGCCGTGTCCGGACGGCCACTGATTATTATGAAACACATTCAGACAATACATTCGTTGCATTAGTAAAGCGTCTGATTCATTGAGGATATGATGATATTAATGGTTATTTGTAATGTAACACATTGTAAGTTATTTAGTATTTAACTAAGCTATTTTAACTAACACATATCTAACTCGAGATTAAACACAATTGTATATCTAATAGTAATGGCATACATTTCAAATAAATAGAGTTAACAGGCAATTGTCAATCACTAAAATTCCGGCAAGCTAACATTTTTAATTTATGGGAATAAAATTGCCACTTTAACACAGATTCAATAGCAGGCGATATACTGTAAGACACATGCAACTGGTTTTTGGTTTTAAACATACTGTACATTAAATATACGGTAAGTATAATCCGATAATTAATAGTTTAATAACTGTGTGTTTTGAATATAATTGGAGTAAAAACTAATCCATTTTGGTATTAATATTAAAATAGATGTTTCTTTCAATGTGTTTAATGCATACAAATCCATGACTTACTGCAACAACCTTTTGCCATCAAATGACGTGCGACTCCTACGAGTGTTTGAGATCTCATTTATTATGTAGTTATCGTTCAGACCTACGTATTCACCGATAAAATACAGAATTAGGCATTTAATTAATTTTTATCATAAACTCTAAGCATTTATTCATTAGTGTTTAAAAGATATTTAATATTATGCTAACAATTACATAAAGTATATACCGGTACTAACAAATATAACAAATATTAGAATTAATTGTTGAGAGAGAGAGAAATGGGAACAGATTTGTCACCAAAAAAGGGAATAATTAATAAATATAAGATTTGTTTAGAATATCATCTGTTATTAGATGACAACATTTCTCTTTAAATAAAATTGAATATAACGTCTAGTCCTACAAATTAAATGATGAAATCGTAAGCAAAGTTTAAATGTTTTGTACAAATAATCACAATATCAAATCATAAAATACCGACTTTGCATAACTTAATCTAAGAAATAGTAGTACCGGTAGTAACAATATTTTTAAAACTGCAAACATTTCATACAGAATCGTATAATACTATTGAAAAGATTTGAAGAATTAAATAAATTTAGAAATGATTAGAAATGCCATTTGATTGGATGGATGGCAACAGGTATTAGTGAGTGATTCAAATAGAGTATAGAGTGAGACAATGAGGGTGTGTAGGTGTGGGACATACCTCTCTTCATTTTCGACATTTCCCTTAATTTAGTGAATATAAAGTAGGCCCGAAAGAAGGCCTTCAATATTTGCCACCGAAATATGGCCAATGGGTCGGCGCCCACCAGTTCTCTGACAAACGCCAACTGCGAAACCTTGAGCACTGACACGATGTCGGGACGCATGAGATCCATGTTTTTCTCGCGGAAGTCTCTGATCTGATACTTGACTTTTCCGGCGTAGTGTTTGATGGCGAAGCCGGGCGCCGGTCGACTCGGCGGCACTTCGAACAACGGATTGCCCTTATGGTGGTTCACGAACTTCTGGAGCACAGTGTCGTTGGTGGCGCCCGGAAATTGGCACTGGTCGTCCAACAGGTACAGTAGGCCGTGTGGACGGCCCTCCACAAGGGTCAGGCAGTCCACGTTGTCGATGAAGTCTATATTACGCCAATTGATGGACTCGCGAATGTACTCTTCCTGTTCGTATTTGAACACGTGTTGGTTGAAGTAAAACTGTAGGTGCTCATTCGCGTAGTTTATGCAAAACTGCTCGAAGTTGTTCTGATCGCCAAAGTCCTCGAAACCGAATATATCGAGCACTCCGATATAGTGACCTGTTAGGCATAAGGTAAATCAACAAGCACAGTTAGGTACAAGTTAGGCACCAGTTCATTAAACATTTTCACTTTAACTTAATTTTGGTTTATTTAAAAAATTACCAGCAATTAAGTGTTTATTATGACAGACAAACTCCGGAAATATATCAATATAACATATAATCCCAAGTTTTAAGATCTTTATATAGCTTTCAAAATAGTTTTTAATTATCACTTCTATGTCCCAAATGATTGACTGGTTTTAAATGAAAAGATTGAGAGATCTTTTTTAATTGTAAAAATCGATTGTAACTCGTTATAGAGGTGAAAATATTTTATCAATTAAAACCCAGTTATAAAATGAATTAAATTATTTCAGATAGATTTTTCTATTAATTTAAAATAATAGCAAGCTCAACACAGATTTAGCTAATGTACAATTTCATCTCATTTTAAGTTAATTTAAATTTATGTATAACTTCAAATGATTAAGTTGTATTAAATTTAATCATATTTTAAAGAAATTACAACTTTATATTTCTAGTGCCGCCATAAATATTTACTGATTTATTGTAACAGACAAGAAATAATATCATTAAAATAATTCAAAATTAACAAAATTAAATCACTTAGAATTGTTAGAATTAAAATTTTATTCTAAAAATAATAGGAAAATATTTTTCGGTATAAAAGTTAATTATTTTTTAAATATTCAATCAGTTTCTATTAAATTTTATCTTGAATATTGTTTATGCGGAAATTATGCCGCAATATTGTAGACATAATATAAATACTTATTTGTATTATATAATATTTACGATAATACTCAGAGACTATCGTGAAATGTTTGTAAAATATAGGGATGACATGTGTGAAGATGTTTACACAGTATGTATGTGAGTGTGTAAATAGGAAGTCCTCACATATTATTGTCAACACATTATACGGTAAATCGCAAGCTATCATCATACTGTAGGTCCTATCATTGCCTGTCATTACTCGGTAGACCCAGTTTAAATTTGTCTACCGTCTAGTGTACAAATTTTTGTACTCAATATAAAAACTAACATTTTAGTTTATAATTTATAGTTATACCTTTATACCAATACTATATTTTTGCTTGCTCGATTATATCGATATATCATATTTTTGTTAAATTATGTTTTGTTTTATTCATTTTATACTAATTAATTGTTTGTTAATAATAGTTTTATACGATATAATAATATATCAGTTTAGGTTAGCCTGTAATATTAAATATTTATTGTATGGTATTGTATTGTATGTGTATATATAAGTTATATAATAATATAATATAACTAATATCAAACACAAGAACATAAGTATTTGATAAAAAATAAATTATTATAAACTAAGTTAAAATATGATTTTATCCTAATATTTGTAAATAAAAATAACTGAAAAATTAGTCTTTTTAATACAAAATGGCATTTACTTCCTATTTATTTTTTTGGATTCAAAAATAAAAAATAATTAATTAAACAAATATTGCCTAATAAAATGCATATTCACTACAATACACAAAATAAGCTTAATATAAATAGGAAGTATAAATACTGTCTATTTGTATATGCAAACACCATGGACACAGATGAGTTAAGTTATCCAGCAATAGGTTTGACATGGGAAAAATGATACAAACTATTTAAAGTCTAACCAGTAAATGAATCAATACACTATTCCCATTTTCAAAATATAATAATAGAATATTAATATAGAATTTTGCATAATTATCTAAATAACAGATAAAATGACACAATTATAGTAAAATATATAATATTATCAATGATTTATAATTGATCTAAATTTAACTAAATGAGTCAATAAGTTAAATTAATTTTTATATTTAACTAAATTCACGTTTAAATTATCAATAGAATTAATAGTTCAAATGTCTATTCTATGAATTGATACAACATAATATCAATAATTGAATTCAAAATATTATTTGTCATGTATGAAATTTCAGTGATAATACGGTTAAAAATATACAGTACGGTTGCAAAGCAAAAATTCGTATCAACTTTTCCAAACACAATCTCTTAAAATATTTTACACAATATGTATTGATATAGTTTAGGTTGACATAAAATAATATAGATTATAAAAATATTCTATAAAGTAAATAGTATAATTTGAAATAAATGCTTTCATTTAATAAATTGTTTCCAATAGATAATTTGTAAATAAATACTTGCAACATTTACTAATATACGGTAATTATTAGCTTGATAACGCGTTTCGTTAGGGCATTAACTTACTAACAATCTGGAGAGTAAAGTTCCTGTATACATTTTACAAATACAAATAAATAATTCAGACCATTCCAAGTATTATCTATATAAGCAAAATATGGACTATTAAATACCCTGTATAGCCGGGTAATTCAAAAACGAAAATTACTGTAAACCTCGAGAATAGAGGGTTGTGTGTGTGTTAAACATAAATGAAATAAAAATTTACCTTTATGATCCCGGTAATCCTTCTTAGATAGGAGCGCGTGATTCACTTGCATGACAATCCAGTCGAATAGTGCACCGTACAGACACTTAGCCATTGCATCCCTAGCCGCTATGGCGTCGGGCATCTTATAGTTGATGACAAGTGTCTCTCCTTTGGCAGCTTTGGTGCGCTTACAGGTGAGCGCCGTTAGCAGAGTCTCCTCTTTCACTAACAACAACTTCGAGATGACGTCCAACTCGTGCCGGTTGCTGATGAGCACCGTCTCGTCGGAGTGATAAGTCGACTTTTTGGCAAACTGCACATTACCAAGGTGCAACACGGCCGACAGCACCCGAAAGCACCGGTGCTGTTTCTCCGGCGAAAAGCCTACCATTTCCATCGACTGTTGCAGTCGTGCGAACTCATAGGCCTCGTCCACGCCATCCAACGTATAGCACTTGGACTGATTCAAGTAGTTATAATCGCATGGCTTTCCCAAATACAGTGCCTGTAGTTTTGCCAATAATCATGTGATCATGTGGTCGACATCGGCGGTGGAGGCGGTAATGCATGTCAAGTGGCATAAGTGTGCGCACAGTTTACAAGTTTTGTCGTTTATTCACACGAGTTGTGTTCAGTGTTTGTACGAGTGGTATGAGTGGTGACCCCAATAGCCATTCCAGTCGTATATATAAGGAGTTAATTAAGAAATAAAAGAAAAGAAATTAATATTCAATTTATGTGCCGATAAGAGGTTTCTCTTAATATAAACAAAAATTATTATCTTTTTTGTCAAAATATATTTTTATGACATTTCAAGTGATTATTTAAATTAGTTTTTATTTTTATTTGATAGGTTTTTAATTTTTTCATAAACAAGAGTATTTTTCGTATGATAGTTTTAATAAATATAAAGTTAGTTTATTAAGTAAGAATACTCTCATTGAATAATAACAGTTAATACTATACTTTAAATAAGGGTTAATATTAAGTTACACATGAATGTGATAAACGATAATCTCACATATATTAATAGGATTGTAAAAATAAGAAATACCCAGATGTTTTCTATAATATAATAAAATATTTATTTAATATTTACTCTCAAATTTTAGAGCTAAATAATTCAAATCTTTAAATAATCTTTATTTAAAATACAGGTATAACAACTCAAACATTAATTATTTATGTGATAAATATTGGCAATGAAACGGTAATTATTACAAGGAATAGAGTACCAAAACTAAAGTTTAAAACACTGTTAGATCCAAACATGTGAATGAATGGGTTATTATAATTAGTGAACAATAAATAAATAAATATATTAAATTAATTCACTGTTTATATGAAAAGAGATTTCTTGTGTATATCTTATCTATATTGGGGTTTATTGTGTAGGAATGATGAGAATTTGTGGTTATTTTTATATCATAATATCACAAAATGTTAATCCTGTAACTAGTTCTATCAATCTATATAATATAATCAAGTAAAGATATTATGTAAAGTGAAAAATTTTATTATAATATGTACCGTAATATAAAATGCGGAATATTTATGTTTATTTTATTCTTCAATTTTATTACTATTTATAGCTTTTACTCTAATTTGATTAAAACCAAAAGTTTAATTATGAACTCAATTTTAAGAATTCACTGATAAAAGTGTATCAGAGAGAGAGAGAGAGAGAGAGAGAGAGAGAGAGAGAGAGAGATTTTATAAATCTTAAAACTCTTTAAATTCTATTTGTTTTAATAAATATTTTCGTTTAATGTTCATACTGTATAATTTTAGGTTAATATGTTAATATCACATTTATTGTGGTTTTAAATTATTTAAGAATAAAATATTCTCTCTCTTTCTCTCTCTCAAATAAACATAATATAAATAATTTCAAAATATTTTAAATTCAGTATTATGACAAATTTATAGCATTATTTCTTAATTAAAAAGCCATTTGTATTTATCAAAATAATTTGAGACACCAAATATTAAAGAGTAATTCTTATTTAATTTAAATTATCAAATTATAAAATCTGAACAAATTATAGTTTCTTTTAAATCTAAGAATATTATTGTGGGTAGACTATATTGTAATGAATACAGTAAGTACGATATAACATAATCAATTTTTTTCATTTGAAAAGTATTCAATAAAATTCATATTCAAATAAAATGAATATACTGTATTTTATTCATAAAATCTCTAAATTAAAAAAATATTTGAAAAATTATTACCCTATAATAGCAAAATATGAATAATAAAATTCAAATCAAAGTATCATTGAATTGAATTCTTAACACATAATTTCGTAACGAGTTTTATACAACTCTGATTTCCAGATGATTTAATACTACTGTATTTTACTTTTTTTATTGATGAACTACAAAAATAGTTTTAATAATTTTTCAAAATACAAAATTATACACTAAATATTACGGCAAACACCACCTCTTTAGACTAATAAATCTTATTGTATCTTTTAAGTGTAATAAATATTGATTTAATTTTCAATAAATTATTAGATTATGATATAAATAATCAATATAATCCTCATTTAGGAAAATAATTTATCTATACTGTATTACTATTACTTTTTGTATCAATAAATATAATCCTTAACAATGAGGGGTTATCTTAAAGAATTTAACATTTATTGTTCACAAATAACTTTACCG